GGCCGGGTCGGGTCGGGTTGTGACCTATGACAGGCAGGGCCATGTCAGCTCGCGGTTTGACCCGGCCCATGCCTAACCCTAGATTTGGGCAAGCACAAATTTTTAGAGAAAGAATAGCCTGAGCACATCTTGTAATCCTAACTTATCTTTTTGTAACAATTTATGCTTTCCAAATCTTCTTCACTGCCAGCCTAGGAATATCTCAAGAAAACCCTTTGAATTAAGGGACCCTTTGAACTTCTGGAGTATTGAACATAACATTTTTAACTTTTTTTTTTTTGACTTTATAGCGTCTCATAAAACCTCCTGAATTTCGAATTACCTCAGCACACCGCCCCTACATGTAGTTTGCAAATACCTTAAATTTTCTTGAGAGAAGAAATGTGAAACTTTATCACTTGTCGATTAAAAGGCAATATACATTCTCCCCTAAATTTTGGTCTTTTCACTCTTTAGGAAATTTTGGTTATTTCCAAATTACATGTAAAGGGGCTTAGTGAGAAAACATCAAAGTTATTATCCAAATCACACGTAAGAGGCTTAGTGAGAAAACACCGAAGTTCAGGAGAGTTATGTGCAACAGCTCTTAAAGTTCTGGGGTTCTATGAAATTAATTCTTGAAATAAGTATGACCAGCTCAGAGTGAGTTTTGAGTTGATTGACCTCTAGATACCATCTGTACACAGGAGATGGCAAGTGTTCAGAGGAGACAGCTCAGGCTCCAAAGAAATCCTCTCTGTTCAAATTCAAGACACAGCTTGACGTGTTCTTTGCATCGAACACAAGTGAAAATGTTTGCGACTTCAAGACCCAAGGACACTACTTCTAGAAATCCTGCACATTTTACCTCGGAGATTCCAATGCCATAGTAGCGCAGGTAACCAGGACAATAAAATTGCTTTTCCCCCTGATATTTTTTCACTTTAATCTTTCATCTCTCGAATTAGTCCCACGAATCATTGTAATCGCTATCAGGTCTCCAATTCTTAAGTTATTTTGAAATTTGCCTTTAAATTAATGAAGATCGCTATCAGGTCTCAAATTCTTAAGTTATTTTAAAATTTTCCTTCAAATTATTGAAAACCTATTATTACGTCCCCTAATTCTCATAAGTGGTTTCAGATTAAACTCTATAATTGTTACTTAAATAGACCCCTAAAGAGTATTTTTGTCATTTAGATGCATTTGAGATCCTCCATATATAGCCCAAAGTTAACATCCCGACGTGTATCTGCCAATATGAAACTAACTAGAGAAGACGGTTCAAAACAATGATATAGTGGTGGTCTACGTACGATTACCTCTAATGTGAAGTTGAGATGATTCAACCATGAGAGGTTGAACTTGTATTAGGCAGATGAGAGAACATAACACAGTCGGGAGCGTGCTTATCGGAAAGGATACTTTTGGTGCGACGGGTGTATCCAAATATCGACTGTGCCTTCATCGCTGCTCTCATCGTGATTCTTCATCGCTGCTCTCATCGTGATTCTGGACGAGATTTACGAAGATGGAGATGACTAGGATTGACATGTACACGAAAATGCGGAACTTTGATGTGCAAGTATGCGAGTCTACCTGGCTAATACTGTGTTGTTTTGTGATGTCGAATGTCATAATTCTGAACTCTGTTACGTAGCAAAATTTGCAAAATGAGAGAATGATTCTAAAACTAGAGAAGACAGTTCAAAACAATGATATAGTGGTGGTCTACGTACGATTACCTAATGTGAAGTTGAGATGATTCAACCATGAGAGGTTGAACTTGTATTAGGCAGATGAGAGAACACAGTCGGGAGCGTGCTTATCGGAAAGGATACTTTTGGTGCGACGGGTGTATCCAAATATCGACTGTGCCTTCATCGCTGCTCTCATCGTGATTCTTCATCGCTGCTCTCATCGTGATTCTGGACGAGATTTACGAAGATGGAGATGACTAGGATTGACATGTACACGAAAATGCGGAACTTTGATGTGCAAGTATGCGAGTCTACCTGGCTAATACTGTGTTGTTTTGTGATGTCGAATGTCATAATTCTGAACTCTGTTACGTAGCAAAATTTGCAATATGAGAGAATGATTCTAAAACTAGAGAAGACAGTTCAAAACAATGATATAGTGGTGGTCTACGTACGATTACCTAATGTGAAGTTGAGATGATTCAACCATGAGAGGTTGAACTTGTATTAGGCAGATGAGAGAACATAACACAGTCGGGAGCGTGCTTATCGGAAAGGATACTTTTGGTGCGACGGGTGTATCCAAATATCGACTGTGCCTTCATCGCTGCTCTCATCGTGATTCTTCATCGCTGCTCTCATCGTGATTCTGGACGAGATTTACGAAGATGGAGATGACTAGGATTGACATGTACACGAAAATGCGGAACTTTGATGTGCAAGTATGCGAGTCTACCTGGCTAATACTGTGTTGTTTTGTGATGTCGAATGTCATAATTCTGAACTCTGTTACGTAGCAAAATTTGCAATATGAGAGAATGATTCTAAAACTAGAGAAGACAGTTCAAAACAATGATATAGTGGTGGTCTACGTACGATTACCTAATGTGAAGTTGAGATGATTCAACCATGAGAGGTTGAACTTGTATTAGGCAGATGAGAGAACATAACACAGTCGGGAGCGTGCTTATCGGAAAGGATACTTTTGGTGCGACGGGTGTATCCAAATATCGACTGTGCCTTCATCGCTGCTCTCATCGTGATTCTTCATCGCTGCTCTCATCGTGATTCTGGACGAGATTTACGAAGATGGAGATGACTAGGATTGACATGTACACGAAAATGCGGAACTTTGATGTGCAAGTATGCGAGTCTACCTGGCTAATACTGTGTTGTTTTGTGATGTCGAATGTCATAATTCTGAACTCTGTTACGTAGCAAAATTTGCAATATGAGAGAATGATTCTAAAACTAGAGAAGACAGTTCAAAACAATGATATAGTGGTGGTCTACGTACGATTACCTAATGTGAAGTTGAGATGATTCAACCATGAGAGGTTGAACTTGTATTAGGCAGATGAGAGAACATAACACAGTCGGGAGCGTGCTTATCGGAAAGGATACTTTTGGTGCGACGGGTGTATCCAAATATCGACTGTGCCTTCATCGCTGCTCTCATCGTGATTCTTCATCGCTGCTCTCATCGTGATTCTGGACGAGATTTACGAAGATGGAGATGACTAGGATTGACATGTACACGAAAATGCGGAACTTTGATGTGCAAGTATGCGAGTCTACCTGGCTAATACTGTGTTGTTTTGTGATGTCGAATGTCATAATTCTGAACTCTGTTACGTAGCAAAATTTGCAATATGAGAGAATGATTCTAAAACTAGAGAAGACAGTTCAAAACAATGATATAGTGGTGGTCTACGTACGATTACCTAATGTGAAGTTGAGATGATTCAACCATGAGAGGTTGAACTTGTATTAGGCAGATGAGAGAACATAACACAGTCGGGAGCGTGCTTATCGGAAAGGATACTTTTGGTGCGACGGGTGTATCCAAATATCGACTGTGCCTTCATCGCTGCTCTCATCGTGATTCTTCATCGCTGCTCTCATCGTGATTCTGGACGAGATTTACGAAGATGGAGATGACTAGGATTGACATGTACACGAAAATGCGGAACTTTGATGTGCAAGTATGCGAGTCTACCTGGCTAATACTGTGTTGTTTTGTGATGTCGAATGTCATAATTCTGAACTCTGTTACGTAGCAAAATTTGCAATATGAGAGAATGATTCTAAAACTAGAGAAGACAGTTCAAAACAATGATATAGTGGTGGTCTACGTACGATTACCTAATGTGAAGTTGAGATGATTCAACCATGAGAGGTTGAACTTGTATTAGGCAGATGAGAGAACATAACACAGTCGGGAGCGTGCTTATCGGAAAGGATACTTTTGGTGCGACGGGTGTATCCAAATATCGACTGTGCCTTCATCGCTGCTCTCATCGTGATTCTTCATCGCTGCTCTCATCGTGATTCTGGACGAGATTTACGAAGATGGAGATGACTAGGATTGACATGTACACGAAAATGCGGTACTTTGATGTGCAAGTATGCGAGTCTACCTGGCTAATACTGTGTTGTTTTGTGATGTCGAATGTCATAATTCTGAACTCTGTTACGTAGCAAAATTTGCAATATGAGAGAATGATTCTAAATTGAGACAAAGCACGATGTTCTACTTTGCTGCTGCTATCAACCAAAATAAAATTATCTTGTGTGAGCCGAAGTGCGAGCGCAGATGTATTTGAGTCGATTTTCTTAATTACTAGACATTTTTCTTTTTGAGGAGATTTTTTTTTCCTTATCTAGGTGAGGAGTTTGGAGTTCACCAAAAGAGCCTAATTTCAGACAAGAAAGTAAACACAACCTATTTCATTTCTCAGAGCGAGAATGTAACAAGACAGCAATGAGAAAATGCAACAAATATCCAACAATTCCAATCAAAGTTTGGACGCCAGAGCAGCTAGTGTTCTATGTTGGTCTATGAGAAGATATTATTGCAAACCAAACAATTGACATATAGAAATGAGAGTATGTCAAAGAGAGTCTAATTGCAGATAGACCTCCTGCAATATCGTTGTTTCGAACTTACTATTTCTCAAAAATAAATAAAGAAATTCAATCTTTCTTTGAGGTCAAGAAGTTCACTCATACAGCCTATCTGCAACAATAAACTAGAGGAATAGTAAATTCCACTGCACGCTACAACTTTAATTTGAGTTAATTGGCCTCTATTATTTGGCTACGTCTTCTTCACCTAGATAAGGACTGCACACAGGAGATGAAAAGTGTTCAGAGGAAAGAGCACGGACGACAAAGATATCATATTCAGTGTCAAGAAATCCTCAGTGCTCCAATTCAAGACACAGCTTGGTGTGTGTTCTTAGCATCAAACACAAGCGAAGACGCTTGCGATTGCAGTATCAAAGGAAGCTTCTTTGAGAGATCCTGCAAAATTTATCTGGGAAATACCGAAACAATCGTAGCTGAGGTAAGAAGCACAATAATACATTTTTTCTTCTGGTTATTTGCACTAAAACACCCCAAAGTTTCCTTTGCCCAAAAAATACCCACATAATTTTACTTTGATACCAAAAACTCAAATTTTTGTTAAATTTATGCTAAAGTTTGGGGTATCAAAGTTAAATCTTTTGTTAAAGTTTAGGTATGTTTGGCAAAGTTCAAAAAACGAGGTAAACAATGGCTTTTTCTCCCTATCTTTTTCCTTTCCCCCCTTTCTTTTCTGTTTTGTAAAATGGGTGTATCAAAATTAAAAACGGAGTAACATTTGGTGTATTTTAAGTGCAAATAACCCTTTTTCTTTGGTAATCTATATTTATTGCCAGTAACTGAATTCTAAAGAATTGACAACTTATTTATGCGGATGAGAAAGAGACACAATGCCGGGAGTATTTTTTTGGGGAGGGACACTTTTGCTGTGACAGTGTATGCAAATGTTGATTATGCCTTCATCGCTGCTCTTATTGTGGTTCTTGATGAGATTAACAATGATAAGAATGGCGATGATTGACTAATATTACATGCAAATGCACAAGTTTATGTGCAACTATCTAAGTGTCTACCTAAGGATGTCTTAATTATGTAAACCTATTATGTTGTAAAAGATACATTATGAGAGAATGGCTCTAAAGAGCGAGTGCTTTCTATGCTGTTCATAATCTAGAAAGATTATTTTGTATGTGAGTAAAAGTGGGAGCTCAGATTCAAATAAGGGAAAATTGCTTCTAGCCCTCAATTTCCTTAGAAGCAATTTTCCCTTACAAGTATCCCCCACCCCCAAAGATTTTTTTCAACGCTCTCAAAACCCCCAAAAACAAAGCCATAATTTCTCGAGTCCCCCAAAACACAAAACCCAAAAGTTTAAAACATGTGAAGACCATAATACACTTTCTCTCTCTCTCTTTCTCTTTTTTTCATGATGTTACTGTGATGATTGAAATGGGTTTTGGGGGGGAAATTCTAGTCCCTCCAAAATTTTCCAACGGCGTCAACATCAGCGGTAAAATTTTCCAACGGCGTCAACATCAGCGGTAAAACTTTTCCTGCGTTTATTCATGAGGCGAAGAAAAGGCGGGAACTCTGATGATTCCCGGTGTAATTTTTCTCTTTTTTAACTTGTACTTGAATCTGAGTGCTATATTTTTTTATTATACATATTATTATAATTTTTTTTTAAATCGATGAATTGAGATTAAAGTAGAGTATGTGAATTTATATATTGTTGTTATTTCACTGTAATGAGTTTGTTGTTAAGTTTATGAGTTGGTGGTAAATGAAGGTTACGTGTTGGTTTTAAAGGTTACGAGTTGATTGTGAAGTTTACGAGTTAGTTGCTAAGGGTACGAGTTGGTTGTGAAGGCTACGAATTGATTGTGAATGTTAGGAGTTGGGTATGAAGGTTACGTGTTGCTTGTGAATGTTACGCGTTGGTTGTCAAGGTTACGAGTTGGTTGTGAAGGATACGAGTTGGTTTTAAAGGTTATGCATTGGTTGTGAAGGTTATGAGTTTGTTGTGAAGGTTATGAGTTGTTTGTGAAGCTTACGAGTTGGTTGTGAACCTCGGCAATGAGTTGATTGTGATTGTTGTTAACTAGCATTCACAACCAACCCGTAATCATCACAACAACTCCTTACCGAGTTTCACAACCAACTCGTAACCTTCACAACCAACGTGTAACATTCACAACCAATTCGTAACATTCACAACAAACTCGTAACTTTCACAACCAACGCGTAACCTTCACAACCAACACGTAACCTTCACAAACAACTCGTAACCTTTACAACAAACTCATAATCTTCACAACCAACTCGTAACCTTCACAATCAACTCGTAATCTTCACAATCAACTCATAACCTTCACAAACAACTCGTAACCTTTACAAACAACGTGTAACCTTCACAACCAATTCGTAACATTCACAACAAACTCGTAACCTTCACAACCAACGCGTAACATTCACAACCAACGCGTAACCTTCACAACCAACTCGTAACCTTGACAACTAACTCGTAAATTACACAACCAACTTGTAACTTTCAAAACCAACACGTAACATTCATTCATCATCAACTCATAAGCTTAACAACAAACTTATTCAATGAAATAACAACAATATATAAATTTATATGCTCTACTTTAATCTCAAGTCATCGATTTCAAAAAAAATACAACAATATTTAAACTTGAGGAGATTAGCAATGCAACTCATCATCACCATCTTCAAGATCGCAGTTTTCTTCGCCCCATGAACGAACGTCGGGAAAGTTTCACCACCGATGTCGACGCCGTTGGAAAATTTTAGAGGGAACTAAAATCCCCCCCACCCCCCCCCCCCCCAAAAAAAAAAAAAAAAAAAAAAAACTCATTTCAAATCATCACAGTAACATCATGAAAAAAGAAAGAGAAATGGTATTATGGTCTTCACATGTTTTAATTTTTAAACACTTGGGTTTTGTGTTTTGCGGGCTCAGGGAATTATGACTTTGATTTTAGAGTTTTTGGAGCGTTTAAAAAGTCTTGGGGGATACGTGTAAGAAAATTAGGGGCTAGAAGCAATTTCCCCTTCAAATTATTTGTTATTTTAATGTTCTATACATTATTATTTGTTTCTCTTTTTTTAGGAGTTTGACATTGACTAGTATACAAGCACACAACACTTAAAATCAAAGAGAGACTTTTCCAGTAAATAAACTTCTCAATCCTGTCTCTTAATAGAGCTGGTGCATGTATATTAAATTTCAAGCATACTAGCTTAAATTAAAGCACAATTAAGCCTCAAAAAGGAAAAAACATTTGTCCATATCAATACTTTGAGTATGTTTACAAGTATAAACTCAAAACGATTAGATGTGGAAAGGTTGGTCAATATAATTTGGAGAATAACACTCTTCCATGTTAATTTAAATATGACTCGAAGACCACTCGTCCATGGTATCTTAAATATGACTCAAAGACCATTAGAAATATTCAAACAACTATCAGTCTGGTTCTTCATCATTACTACCTTAATTGCGAAAAAAACATTATTAATAAAGCAAGACATTTACAGAAAGCACCAGAACGAGTAACAAGTGAAATTGATGTAATACAAATCAATCTCATTGATATTATCAAAAGTTTCAGCAAGATAAAAATTGAAAAGCTTAAGAAGCATGAACCATGAAGTTATCGGAATTACAATTAAGAGGTTTTAACAGAGGAAAAAAATATTTCAAATTTAACTAAACCTCATTCAGGTTGCCTTGCGGTTCACTTTAAGATAGGGTAATGCACCAATGACATTATCATAGTCGCTTTTATCTACTCCGATCTGTAGAAAAGAAGCCAAAAGGTATCAGAAAGAATAACTTGGAAGTCTCAGTACGACACTAGCTAGTACAAATCAGTGTCAGGTTAGAAAGAAAAAAATACTTTTATTAGATGAATTCAAATGAATATTTGAGCTGTTTTCCTACTAGATTTTGAATTTGTATTATGGGTGTTCAGCCAAATGCATATAGTTCGGCAATGGTATTTGCATGAGCAATATTGCCATGTGAGCAATATTACTCCAAGATGTAAAATGTTAATTGACTGACGAAGTCATAGACAGTAATGTGAACTGCTAAATTACTCCAAGATGTTAATATTACTATGAAGAAGTCAATTAACAGCTCACGTTATCTAAAGGCGTGCATCAACTAACCTGAGAAAATTTTAATAGTGTTTCTTAATCATCAAATTGCCTGAATCAGATAAACCCAAAATCTTTCAAAATACAATTAAACTAACCTCAAAGACATGACCTAGCCATATGGTGCATAGTTTCATGTGGAAGCACATTGTTCTAAATGGTATTAAGATCTATTGAGAAATTTCCACTTTACTTGAAAAGGAGATGTACAACTTTGCTAGTTTCATCACAATTCATGTTCTACTTGATGCTTCGACAATTTAGGTCAGTACCATAAACAGCTAAACAAGGACCAGAAGTGTGACTACGAAAACTTAGTTAGAATTGTTCTGGAATTGTTTTATGAACAAAGAGCCCAAAAGAAGTCAAAAGATCCTAGAGCCCAACTGATACCAGATTTCCCATAATATATGCCTAAAGTTTTTACTCCCTAAGTTTCACTATCCATTTGGCTCGTGTGACTGAATTCCATGTAAGTAAGGAGAACAACTTTAATTTTCATCTGGACTATGAAAGAGTCTACATAACCGGTAAAATGATAGCAATGTTCTGTAGGCAATTTTTCCGCACATTTATGGCACAAGACAGAACATGTTACTTCAATTTCTTTAGGGCCTGTTTGGATTCGTAGGGGGTGAAGGGAAGTTAAGGGAAACTGAGTGAATGGAAGGGAAGGGAAAGGAAGGGAAGGGAAGGGAATTCCCTTCCCCTTGGTTACACCCCAATTTGGGGGGTAACAATTTTTATACTATTAGGGGGTGAACCAAGGTGAATGGAGGTGAATTAACTTCACCTCCTAAGTGTTCCCAAACAAGGTGAATGGAGTTGAATGGTTCCCCTAACTTCCCTTCACCCTCATTCCCCTCAATCCAAACAAGCCCTTACCTAAGTTTCGATGCGGGTGACAACCTAATGTTCAGCTATGTCACGGGGCAATAAGGAATGCGTGTGCTCGCGTACATGCACTCACATCAACAGACAAAGCTAAAAAAATTTAGTATTAAACTCCCAACAGACATTAACACAAACACATAGCAAGCAAACCAGGAACCAAACGAACCCAAATCAAAAGGGCTCACCATTTTAGACAAGCGAAGCTTCCTCTTAGTGTTCTTCTTGGCCAGCAAATGCTGCTTCCCTGCTCTCCTCCTCACTATCTTCCCCTTGCCCGTAACCCGAAACCTCTTCGCAGAAGCCTTCAAAAACAAAGAAACGAAGGGATGGGTTCTTGCTGGAATCAATCACAGATAACAGAAAAGAGGTCAAAATCGAACCTTGTGGGTCTTCATCTTGTACCCTTTGGCAGCGAATACAGCAATCTTGGGTGGGGTTCGGGAGGCTGAGGGGGTTAAAGTGAGGGACTTGGGGAGGGTTAGAGGGAACCCAGAGAGGGATCTCGAGGAGGAAAGGTTGCTGTTGGTGGGTTTGATGGAGAGAGAGATTGGAGAGGGAGAGAGATGGGTTTTGATGGAGGAGAGAATTGGGAGGGATGAGGGAGGGGAGAAGCTCGTGAAGAGGAGAGAGGATGCCATTGTTTTCTGAAGAAGGTGCTCCTCTGTGTAGCTGGGATAAAGGGATAAAAGCCGATACTTTTGGATAGGATTAAATTTCCAACGCCCAGCAAGAAGTTGGTTGATGTGTTAATTAGATTTACAATTTGTAGAAAATAGCTGCAAAATAATGCAAGAGTAGTGATAAGAACATTACTTTTTTATGTAAGATTTATTTTCTTTAATATTTTTCAAAATTGATGACTCATCAAGGAGCTCATACTTCTCTCTCTTGTAACATAGATGTGCAGTGTAGAAAAGAATAGTATAGTTCTTATTTTCCGCACTTTGCGATGCCTTTTAAATAAAATATTAACAAATAATGCCACGTTATCAAGTTGATTTTAGTCTGATATGTAGTGAGAATACATTTTGTGCAATAGAAAATTAAAATCTAACTAGTTAATCGAACAATCATTTGTATATTTAGGAATACATCTTCTATAAAAATGTTGTCTGTAGCATTTTCTTACTGTGACATTAGGTATCGTCCGGTGGTATTTTGCAATTATAATTAGAACAAAATTTGCATGCAGGATATTGCTACATGCAGCATATTTACTGTATGAAATTAACCTCGAATCCCTGAAATTGTAGAAAATATACAAACGTTGTTAGTTTTGCGTTTTTCTTTTACTTGTCGCTTTTCATTTACAAGGAAAAGATTGGATTAGGATCCTCCGTTATTAAGAAAATAAGAAGATAGTGTTATTGATAGATGTGTTGAAAGAGATGAGTTTAAATAGTAAGTCACGGAAACCAAGTCGTAAAATTGGCTGTTGGACAAGCCTGGGTGTGACATTAGTACCTCTAATTGCCTTATATATTCTTTAATATTAAATTCTAATTATGCTTCATCTAAAAATAAAAGGAATATGCAAATCACATAAACTAGTTAAGTAATACATTTTGAATGAATCATAAACTTTTAAATATTAGCAGACCAATATAACCGGAGAGGTGATCACTTCGCTAATGTTTTACATTAGCGAGGGTCCACAGATCTCTTTACTTA